CGTTCCTGGGGCTTGAACTCTGGGCCTAGTAGTGACACTCTTATCTTCAATTAACTGTCAGAAGGCCAGAAATGGGGCTATGGTTCCAAGAGTTAGAATACTGGGGCTGGGAATATGGCCTAGTGGTTGGGTGCTTGCCTAGCATGCCTGAAGCCCTGGTTTCAATTCCTCCATACCACATAAATGGAAAAAGTTGGAATTGGTGCTGGGACTCAAGTGGTAGGGTCCTAGCCATTAGCAAAAGAAACTCAGGAACTGCAGGGGGGAGGGGGGAAGTGTAGTTGTAGAAGTGGGAGGGAAGGAATGGTAGGGGAAAAAAGGAGGAAGCAACAATGCTTGATAAGAAATGTAGGGGGGGGGAGATGGGAAGGAGAAACAAAGGAGGAGGCAATAATGCTTGATAAGAAATGTACTCATTACCTAGCCCATGTTAATTGTAATCCCTCTGTACAGTATTTTCACAAAAAAAAAACTTATTTAAAAAAAAAAAAAAAAAAAGCTCAGGGGCTGGGAAGGTGGCTCAGTGGTAGAGCGCTTGCCTTGCATGCTCGAGGCCCTGGGTTCGATTCCTCAGCACCACATAAGCAAAAAGAAAAAAGCCAGGAGTGGCGCTGTGGCTCAAGTGGTAGAGCGCTAGCCTTGAGCTGAAGAGCTGAGGGACAGCACCCAGACCCAGAGTTCAGGCCCCACGACCGGACCCAAAAAAAAAAAAAAAAAAAAAAGCTCAGAGACAGTGCCTAGATCCTGGGTTTAAACCCCAGGACTGGGGGCGGGGGTGGGGGATAGTGTGGGGAAGAAGAGCTGTGGCTTAAGTGGGTATAACTCTAGCCTTGAGCAAAGGAAGCTCAGAGAACACAAAAGTACCATGTCTCCATACTTCTGATTATATAAAATAATATTTATCAAAATGAACAGGAAATGGAAACAAGTTTTTTTTCCTTTTCTTTTTATCATGTTTTATATACGTGTGTTTTATTGTAAAAATTCTGTACAGAGAGGTTAATTACATGAGTAAGGTAATGAATACATTTCCTATCAAGCATTGTTACCTCCTTTTTCCCCTACCATCCCTTCCTTCCCCATCTTTTTATCATGTTTGTTCATTATGTTTTGGAGGGCAAGAGGGGCACAGAAATGGAGGGACACAGGGTAAACAGTGCAGCAGTGGTACTCACTGGACACTTGAAAATGAACTATACAACTTGTGGGCAGGGGAGGGGGAAGCTGGGAGTGAAGGAAGGAGTGACATTCATTCTCGAAAAGGAGAAACTCATTACCTGACTTATGAAACAGTAAGCTCTCTGTACATCATCTTTATAATAACAATTAAAAAAATTTTAAACCTTAAGAGACAGCATCTAGGCCCTGAGTTCAAGCCCTATGATCAGCGTGCGCACATGCGCACGCGCACACATGAATAGTGTGTGTGAAAACTTTTGCCACTAGAAATACAAACAGCTTAGTAAATGGTTAATTAAATCTACCTTTGAAAACCAATTCTAAAGTACCTTTAGAATTTATGGGCTGGGAAGGTGGCTCAGTGGTAGAGCGCTTGCCTTGCATGTTCCAGGCCCTGGGTTCGATTCCTCAGCACCACATATGCAAACAGAAAAAAGCCGGAAGTGGCGCTGTGGCTCAAGTGGTAGAGCGCTAGCTTTGAGCTGAAGAGCTGAGGGACAGCGCCCAGGCCCAGAGTTCAGGCCCCACGACCGGACCCCCTCCCCCCCCAAAAAAAAAGAATTTAGTGGTTTTGTACTATTTCTATGTTATCTACCTGGTCTTTTTTTTTTTTTGCCGGTTGTGAGGCTTGAATTCAGTGTCTGGGTGCTGTCCCTGAGCTGCTTCTGCTCAAGGCTACCACTCTACCACTTGAGCCACAGCACCACTTCCAACTTTTTCCACTGATGTGGTTCTGAGGAACTGAACCCAGGACAAGCACTCTACCACGACGCTATATTCCGGCTATGCGAAGCTTTAAGAGTTATAGCCACAAGAATCGGTTAATGTGCTTTCCACTACTGTAATAAATACATGAGGTAAGTGGACTTGAGGCAAGGCGGAACATCATGTGAGACACATGGTGGAGCAAAACTGCTCACCACATGATGACTAAGGACAGGGAAAGATACAGGAGGGAGGAGGAGGCTGTTATCTCCTTCAAAGGCAAGTTCCTAATAACCTAACTCCCTTCAACGAGGGCGCCCCTCTTATGGGTTCTACCAATTCCCAACAGCACCACAGTTGGGGGCCAACGCTATAACCTATGTCTTTGGAGGGCATTCAAGATCCAAGTCAGGGGCTGGGAAGGTGGCTCAGTGGTAGAGTGCTTGCCTTGCATGCATGAGGCCCTGGGTTCAATTCCTCAGCACCACATAAGCCGAAAAGGCCAGAAGTGGTGCTGTGGCTCAAGTGGTAGAGTGCTAACCTTGAGCTGAAGAGCTGAGGGACAGCGCCCAGGCCCAGAGACCAGGCTCCACAACTGACACAAAAAAAAAAAGAAAAAAAATCATAGCAATAAACCTGAAAATAAGCCAAACTGAAGCACAGGGGGAAAAACACAAACCAAAAACTCGGATTAGAGACACGTGATGTACACACACAAATAGAACTGGGGAAATGACTAAAAGAAGACTGTCAGCTCTCGCCAGGCACCGTGGCTCACGTCTGTAAACCTAGCCATTGACAAGGCAGACATCAGACCTGTGAGGCCAGCCCAGGCCAAAACGTTTCTCAGACCCCTGTGTCAACTTAAAGATTACGGTGCCTGTCATCTCAGCTCACAGTAGGAAACAGCGAGGACGGAGGGTCCAGGTCTTCAAACCCAGTCCTGAAGGAACACGCAAGGCACGCCTCCCACCTGAGGAACGGGGGCTCGGCCAGCGGCTGAAGCGGCACGACCCGCGCTCACCTGACGACACCACCGGGAAAGGGGCTGCGAACCCGAGCGGGACTGAACCTGGCCCGGCTCCCAACGCCCCATTCAGTCGGCCCGGACGCCGGCGGGGAACGCGGAAGGGGGAAGGAGGGGGTCTGCCCCGTCGGCTCCCCTTGGAACCTCGAGGATGCACGAGCTGCCACAGCCCTCCCCCCGCCCCCCGCCGCCCGATCCAACCGGGCCGGGGGAGGGAAGCTGATGGCCCCGCCGGCGACCGGCCATCCCCCCCACAAGAACCCGACTCCGCGGACGCACACAGCCTTCAGGCTTGGCTGGGTTCACGAACCTAAGAAAACTGTTCTCGCGAGACCGCCCCGCCCCGCTCCGCCCTGGAGCTCCCCTATTGCCGCGCTCTGATTGGCTAAGATCGAGGCGTGTTCCGGTTTTGGCGGGCTCCTGCCTCGAACAAAGGCGCGCCCCGCATGCGCTCTTTCACCAGCCAATCATTCCTTCGCGTTCCTCCCGGTCCCTTCCGCCAGCGGCGGCAAGTGTTAACGTCTCTTCCATTATTTTTACACTCGCGGTTCTGTTACGCCCTCCTACGTCGCCCCACCTCAGCCTTACGGGGCTGCGCACGCGCATGCCGGGCAGTGTGGGCGCGAACGCAGGCGCAGTAGCGTGGAGAGGCTTCCCTGGGGACGTCGGGGCGGAGGATGAAGATAACCAGCCTTGTGGTTCTGGCCGTCGTGGGACTCCTGGAAGAAAATCCTGCGCAGGAAGTGGACTTGCCAGTATGAGTTGGACTTAGTCAAGGGCACTCATGGTCCCACTTTGCAGAAGAGGACACTTGCGAGGGAGAGGGAAGGCTGTCACCTCTGAGCACCTTGTCAACTGAAGGTTGTCCCTGGCGGCTGCGCCCACGGGCTCCTGCCCTGGGCCAACAAGCTCCTTCATCTGACCCGGAAGTGTTTTTGCTAGAGGAATGAGGGCTGCCTGACACTCCACTGCCTAAACTCGGAAAGTCAGAGCACATTTCTTCTCTAATTTTGAGATAAAGTAAAATGCACGTCCAGCCAAGTGCCAGGATTTTACCAAGAATTACAAGCTGTTTTAGAGACAGCCCATTGCTTTTCCCATCTTGTTGGCTAACCACCTTGCTTAGGGGAACTCATTAAATTCGCTCATTTCCTGAAACCCATGTTCTCTTATTTGCTGTCTTTCCAGTTCTGGCCCTGGAGCACTTTCTAGTTTGGCCCCTGAGAAAATTCAATACCCTAGTGACCTTTCTCCTCCAACCCCAAAAGGGATCTTAATGCTTAACTAATGGATCTGGCTGCCCCAATGCATTCTGGGACAGTTAACCACTAGAAAACTGAAGTGGAGCTGTGGATTGAGATGGTAAAGTACTAGTCTTGAGCAAAAATAGCTCAGGGACAGCCAGCACCCGGGCCTTGAGTTCAATCCCCACAACAGACAAGAAAAAGTTGCCTAAACCCGTTGCCTGTGGCTTCAACCTTGTAATCCTAACTACTCTGGAGGCTGCGATCTGAGGATTGCAGTTTGAAGTCAGACAGGTAGAATGGTTCATGAGATTTTTTTTTCTTTCTGTCGGTCGTGAGGCCTGAACTCTGGGCCTGGGCGCTGTCCCTCAGCTCTTCAGCTCAAGGCTAGCTTTCTACCACTTGAGCCACAGCATCACTTCTGGCTTTTTCTGCTTATGTGGTGCTGAGGAATCGAACCCAGGGCCTCTCATACATGCAAGGCAAGCACTCTACCACTGAGCTACCTTCCCAGCCCCTCCATGAGATTCTTATCTCCAAATTGACCACCAAAAAGTTGGAAGTGAAGATGTGGCTCAAATGGTAAAGTGCCAGCCCTGAGCAAAAAAGAATATATGTTTTTGATTCATACCTTGCTTAAAATAGTTATTAAAGGTTATTATTAAAGGTTATTATTAAAGGTTATTATTGCCAAATCCAAACTAGAAGAGAAGTAACTGAATAGAAAGGGATTATTAGAAGAGTCAAATACCAAGTGAAATTTTTCAGTGCATTTTATTTATAATTCAAGACTCTAGCAATCGTATCTGCTAACTTCTTGGCAGCACTGAAAAGACAGAATTGCTTTACTGATTGTCTTGTGCAGTCTTAGAACCAGAAGAAATCTTTGGTTTCTTAGATACTTCATAAACTTGTACAATGAGCTTTAGCTGATTAATGACTTCCTTGTCTGCTGTTTTCATGTTCAGTCCTAGCATCTTCATAATAGTTTCTCGAAAGTCACTGAGCTATAAAAAATCAACATGATAATTGTGATATGTCATTTGTTTGTGATGTATCATCCACTTATTAGGTACAAGGAAATTGATACTAGAATTTTACTCTTATGAAACTTTTTTTTTTTGGTCTGGTCGTGGGGCCTAAACTCTGGGCCTGGGTGCTGTCCTCAGCTCTTCAGCTCAAGGCTAGCACTCTACCACTTGAGCCACAGTGCCACTTCCGGCTTTTTTCTTTTTTGCTTATGTGGTG